CCGCGACCGAATCGGCAGGCCGTCCCGGCTTCCTTAATAGGACCAGCTTCCCGCTCTTCTAGCACTCAGGGAAGCGTCCCGACGCCAAGCTAGCGTCGAACACCTCCCCGAGGCGGTCTGCCATGTGGTTGAGGGCCAGGGCCAGCACTCGGGCCGGTACCCCGTCTGGCCCAGGGGCGGTGTTCTTGGAACGGATCCGTAGAACAGCCGCCCCTACCTCCGAATCCCGGACGGGCGGAACATTGTCCTCCCCGTGCTCCCCGTCGTCTCCGGCCAGGGAGGCCATCGACGGGGGAGTGTGTTCCGCTCGTTGTGGGAAAAGGCCCTCAACCACTTCTCGCAGGAAGCTGGGCTGGAGAGTCTCCGTAAGGGGGGGGGCCCGACGCGCGGAGCTTTTGTCGCACCGCGCGGTAAGGGCGACCCCAGGGGTCACGATTAAGACCCTCCAGCATCTCCTGTCTCTTTTCCTCTTTGGCGCGGCTAATGGCCAGCTTCAGAGTTTTCCGCGCCCGTCGGTACTCCTCATGAAGCCGGTCCTCCTCACCGTCTCCACGGTGACGCCGCCGACTGCGTGTGTAGGACCTCCGGGCACGTGTACAGGCCGCACGGAGGTCCGCCAGCTCCTGGGACCACCAGTAGACCTCCTTCCTTGGAGGCCGACGACCTCGAACGCGGGGCATGGCCGCATCGCATACATGCGTAATCGCATCGCGAAAGCGGCCAGCCCCCACGTCGACCTCCTCGGTCGGAGCCTGAGGAGACAGCCACGAGTGAATTATGGCTGCCTCCTCTAGTAGGTCCCGGTTCAGCCTGGCAACAGCCCACCGCGGAAAGCGGGATAAACGCCGCGCCACGTGACCCCTACTGGAGTCCTGGGTCCGGGAGAGCTCAAATCGGATATACAGGTGATCCGAGAGCGTCTCAACCTCTTCCAGGACACACCAGTTCCTTACTCGTGCGGCGAGGGCAGGGGTAGCGAACGAAAGGTCCACTATCGACCCCCCCTGCTGTCGCACGCACGTGTTGGTGGAGCCTCTGTTTAGAAGACAGAGGCCCACCGAGGCCGCCCACTCCTCTACGGCCTCGCCCCTGGCGTCCGTCCTGGGGGAACCCCACGCAATGGACTTTGCGTTGAAGTCCCCCAGCACAAGGACGTGCCCAGACGCTAGTCGCCGTATCGAGGTCTCCAAGCTGGTTAGGATAACCTCGAAGTCGTTCAAACTCCGGTTGGGGGAGAAATAGACACCATATATGGTGATCCCCCCCCACTCGACGGCAACATATCCAGTGCCCTTGTCTCTTAGCGACAAGGGCGGGGAATGAGCCGTCGTGGAACCGACGACTGCCACGGAGCCGTCCCAGTCACCCATCCAGTTTGGACGGGGAGGGACAGAATAGGGCTCCGCGACTACGGCAACACCTATCGACCACTGTGCCATGGTTTGCAGGAAGAGATCCTGCGCCGCGGCACAGTGGTTCAGGTTCGTCTGGACCAGGAGGTTGAAGACTTGATCCATTACTGGATCGTCTCTACAACCTCCTCCATGGGCGACGACGTCGACGCACGAACTATATCGGAGGCAGCCTGGGTCGACTGGCTAACCCCCGACGTCTGCCGAGAACTGCGGGGAGGCTTGCAGCCTCTCTGCCCCATCTGGTGATTGGCGGGCTTATTGCCCGCCGCACACACTGGGCAGTGAGGGGCGGCAGAGCATTCTGCCGCCTTATGCCCCGGTTGACCGCAGCGGAAACACAGTCCGCCGCAGTCAAAACAACTGTCGCACTTGACGCGCGTGTGTCCCGATGCTAGGCATTTGTAGCATCTCATCGGTCTCGCCGCCAGGACTGTGATCCTGGCGCTCACGAAACCGATGAGCAGCCTGCCGGCGTCGGCCAATACTTTGGCCGACGCAACGGGACAGCTGACCCACACGGCGCCAAGCCCTCCTGGACCGGGGCGGATGGTGCCGACCCTGACGTTGTCCGCGCTGCACCCCGTCTTCTCCCGGATTACAGCGCGGACATCTTCGGCCGTCACTGAGTCGTCCAGGCCCGAGATGCGCAGTTCCGCGCACTTGGTAGGCCTGGCGACCCTGACACCATCTGTGGCTGCAAATATTCCCCGCAGCTTCTCAGCGAAGGAGTCCGCCGTCTTTGCGCCTTCAGCCCCAGGGAACTCGAGAACTCGAGCTCCCGTCTGGGCGAGGCGCATCCTGACCCCCACCGTCCCAAACTCGTTGGCGAGGCTGTCCCGGGCCTTCTTGAAGACGGCCGCATAGGACAGCCCGCCGTCAGCCGCCTCCGGGGACACGGTCACAACTACAGCCGCGGTTTTGGGCGGCTGCAGCTTCCGCGGCCTCTTTGCAGAGGCCGTTGCCACCGGTGGCGAAGGCTGGGCTTGGGCTGCTTTTTGGGCAGCCTTTCTGGCCCGCCTTCGGGACTTCTTGGAGCCCCTCGCCTCCTGCCAACCCTCGTTGGAGGGGGCAGGTGCGGAGGGGCCCGGCAGGGGTGTCGGAGTGGGGAGCGGAGGGAATGCCACTCCGCTCCTCGGCGCCGTTTTAGGCCCCGTCTTGGCCGGCGCCTGGGGATGTGCCTTGGCCGGCGCCTTAGCCGGTGCCTTGGCCGGCGCCTGGGCCGGCGCCTGGGCCGGTGCCTTGGCCCCCCTCCTCGGCTTTTGTGGAGCCGATGGAGTAGGGGCAGACGCCGCCGCCGCGTAAGAAACGCGGCCTCCACCACGGGGAGCGCGGTCGGAGCGGCGGCCTTAGGCCGCTGTGCCGACGCGAGCGGGGGGCGCATAATCGGCGCAGGAGGCAATCTCGCCTCCAGGCCAGCCAGGCGTCCGTCCAGCATATTCCCAACTGCGATGAGGATTTCTCGCAGTTGGGAGTCAAATGCCCCTGAGTTGGTGGTAGGGGCAGGCTGGGACGCGGACGGGGCTTCCCGCTCGGGGAGGTTCGCCTGGAAGCGGGCGAACTGAGCGCTCAGCTCGTTCACCCGCTCCGTCAGCTTCTCGTTGGCCACCTGCAGGCGAGAGACGTCGCCCGCTAGGCCCTCCACGACCCTCCGACAAAGCGGAGGAGGAGTCCTTAAGGGCCCTCACAAACGAGCCCTTAAGGTTCACGGATTTGGTGGCCACCTTGTCGATGACGGCCACCGCCGCTTTCGCCCTCTCCTGCACGGACACGGGAGCCTGGGGGGCATTTCCCCCCACCGGCTCCCGAACCTTGAGCAGGAGATCCGCGATCTCCTCCTCCGCTACGGCCTCTCCGTCCACTCGTACGCTCCTGTAGGACTCCGCGTTTGAAAACGCGGAGCCTGACGGGGTCGAGACCGAGGCCGAGGCCGGTTTACGCGCCCTCCCTCGGCGGCTGCTTGCCACCTTTGGTGGCATCATTTCGCCGGACGTGTCGGTTTCCACGTCCCCTGAGCGTCCGCGTTTCCGGCTGTCGCTCCGCTCCGCTTCCATGGCCTCCGCGCCATCCGATGAAGCGGCGGATCCGGAACGCAGCCGATCCGATGCTCTTCGGCTCCCAGTGACCAGAGTCAGACTGACCTCTGGGAGCCCCATCGAGATAGGCGTTCCTGACACCATCTCACCCTCAGTGGACGACCCATCCGCTCCACTGTTCTGCTTGTCCTTCCTTCCTTTTGCTTTCATGTCCTTTAGGCTTGCCTTTTTCGTTTGTTGGTTGGTTCCGATCGTCTTTTTAATGTTTGAGTTAATATTTTCCATAATAAGTCCCACGAGTGGGGGAGAACTAAAAGGTCCACCCGGGCAGAGATCCCCCATTACCCGGGCAAGCGTAAGTTTTTAACCCAACCGAGGGGTCCGCAGGTACCTCGGCTTGGAGTGCGCTCGCGACTGAACTTCCCATCAGCCATGCATCCCCTGGCCACGCACCAGAACACGGGATTCGGGGAATTTTTTAGAGAGGTTATCTTCCTCGCGGTCCGGGCGGTTAAGCCAAGACCCTCGCCCCCGATCAGAGCCGCGAGACTTAACCACAGCGCTCTTCTCGGGATTACGATATGCCGACGGTTGACAGGGAGACTACGTCCCCCTGCCTGCTCGGTGGTAGTGTGAGTACACGCCGAGCCCGTCCTCCTTTCTCCACCGCTATCAGCGGAGAAACTGTGGCCCCTACAGGGCCCCGCCATCAGGTTTTTTACCGAGGTTTCCTCCTCCATGCTCCGAAGAGCGAAGAGCCAGCAGGGCAACCGGCAGACACGCCCACCCTGCTGGACCAGGCCTTGCCCGAGAGCCGATGAACGGCTGCCTCTTCTGCTAGAATATTGGCCGCTGGCGATAATCCTCTCCTCCAAGAGGACAAGGAGGAAACAGTACCATCGCCAGCGTTTCCAGGGTGCACCACGAGGAGGTTTTCTAGCCCAGCACCCCTTTCTAGCCCAGCACCCCTATACCAACCCGTCTGGCAAACGTTTTATAGTAGGCCAAAACCTCCTTTCTATGGAGAGGCCATATCCAGCAGTGGACTGTTAAAGGCTGTTGATGTGATGTGATGGATTATCTATTGTCTGGTATTAGAAAGAACTACTGAGGTTTTAAGTTTCAGAAAAAATCAAAAGGCTCACATAAATACGTACTTTATTTATTTAAAACATCATAATATTAATTAAATAGTCTTATACTTATCAAATGAAATGCCACAAAAATGTTGACAACAAGATCGTTTAATTACACCTTAAACACTAATAATACTTTTAGCAATAAGTACATTTCATTATAATAAGTCTAAAATCTAGTCTATTAAATTTGGAGAGAGAGGTTTAGACGTCCGATGTTGTCGACGTCTTATGATCGAATGGCCTTTTTTTTAATCGCAGTGTTCGGATACCTATTAATTGGAACTTACATTATAAAGGAACTTTTAAATATTTTGGACGAAATAACGTAAAAAACTAAAAGTTATGTATTAGGTTAGTTATGAAATAATCTAAGCCTGGTTCTTGCGTGTGGGTGTGGTGTTTGCGCCAACACGTCAGCGGCGACGGCCGAACCGCAAGAACGAGTGTACTACATCTTGTCGCTTCATGCCGGTATCGAGGAGTTGAGGGTAGTCGCGGACCAGAGCTGCGGATTGAAGATATTGTTATTCTATTTCGTTTTAAAGCAAACTTATAGATAATAATTATTATTATTATTATCTCATCTCATCACACACACGGCTGTCTGATTCCAAACTAGGCAGAGCCTGTACTATGGTAACCAGACTGCTGTTAAACATACTTATATATTTCTAAATACATACATATCATAGATAAATTTCACCCAGACCCAGAACAAACGATCGTGCTCATCACACAAATACTTGTCCTGGGTGGGAATCGAACCCACGACCTCCGGTTTAGCAGTCAGGATCACCAACCACTAGACCAACAGGCCCGTCAAATCTATTTATATACAAATATCTGATGCATATCTAGTCTTTATGCTTGTTATTGTTTTGGTATATTAGTCAGAGTGCTGCGGTTATAGCTCTGCACTGGCAAAAGGTATATTGGTAACAGTATTAGTTTTGTTCAGTTCGAATAAGACATAAATTCATTTGTCATCCCCTCACAGAGTAGTTAGTTTCCTCTCTTATAGATTTATCTTTTACTTTTAATAAAGACAACTTCCACACTAAAATATATGTCATATTTACTGTGTCGCGAAAAACTTTACAAACACTGATGAAAGGGTAACAAAGAACACCTAGAGTCAGAACAACAATTTATGGATCACAAAAAGTGTTGTCCATGTGCTGATCGAACCCACAACACTCAGTAATAATAATAATAAATATTTATTTATCCAAATAACCTTTAACAAATTGGATTTAATACTATTTAATATGATGAGTTCCTGTTGAAGGGAGAAGGAAATATGAGACTTCAAATAAATTGTAACCGATAGAGTCACACGTGAACCTTTTGAGAATTCAACCATCATTAGTTATGGGCTAAGAGCATGTACCTTGGTATTCAGGAACTTGTTCTCCACCAGCTTCAGCGTAGAGTTCCAGGAAGGTGTTGAGGGCCTGGCAGAAGCGCGCAGTGCGAGGGTCGTCGTCTGCGGCGCCTACGCACAGCTGCGCCGGCGCGCACACCGCCGCGCTCAGGCACACCGCCAGCACCGCGCACACTAGCGCTCCACGGTAACCATCACCACTGTGGACAACGATACATTACATTACACATACATTAAGCTTTTCCCTTAGGATCATGCACAACGGCTGGCCTCTTGCTTCATCCTTACAGGTCTCTCTTCACGATTTTCGGAAGAAGATTGAGAGGGAGGGTTGTACCTTTCATACATACTTTTATACTAGTTTTTTTTCAATAAGGGGCTAACAAGCAGACGGGTCACCTGATGGGGTCACAAGCGCGTTGGCGGCCTTTTCATTAACAGCCATTACTATAACCCGGCAATCTCGTGCGCGACCGTCCCGAGGGGTGACAGACAGTGGCGGGGGCGAGGTAGCGCGTCATTCTAGCACACGGCTACACACGAAGAGAAGCGTTTCCCTTCCCCGCTACACCACCCGCTACCCGCTGACATCTTGAGTACCTCGTCCCTGCCACCGTCTGTCACCCCGCAGGACGGTCGCGCACGACGTTGATGGACTATAGTCCACTGCTGGACATAGGCCTCTCCTTAGAAAGGAGGTTTTGGTCTACTATACCACGCTGGCCAGACGGGTTGGTATAGGGTTTGTTTCAAATTTTCCTTCTCTTTACAGTGCTGCAGATGGGGATGAAAATTCTACTGTGTGGAACGATGGCGGAAACTTGCGGCTGGCATTAGCCCGAACAATTCCTCGAAGCACTCTACATGATACTATAGAGAATGCAGAATGAAGTTACATCTGTAGCGATAGTTTCCAAATCGATAGGTTTTTCTTTAAAAACTGTATCGAGCGTGCTAAATAGCATGCACATTATTGAAGTATTAGATTATCGAAGTTCATCAAAAATATTATACTTTTTGATAGCATCAAAAGGTGTCGATACTATCGGATCTTTAATACCGATACTGCCTACAACGACACATTATTTACTTTAATAACTATTCGATAACTTACGTGAGGTAGAGAATCTATTGCACAAGGAATATAATTAACTTGCAATTATTAATGTTTTTTTTTATGTTAGAGGGGGCAGACGAGCAGACAGGTCACCTGATGGAAAGTGACCATCGCCGCCTATGAACGTCTGCAACTCAGGCGTCACAAACGCGTTGCCGGCCTTTTAGGAAGGAGTACGCTCTTTTCTTGAGGGTTTGAAGGTCGTATCGGTCCGGAAATACCGCAGACGATAACCCGTTCTACAGATTGGTTGTGCAGGACAAAAAGTGTCTCGAAAAGCGCACAGTAGTATTATTATTATTTATTTTAGGGTAGGCATCAATTTCTAACGATAGCATCTCCTATTATCGAAGTCGATACAATACAGTCTTTACCGCAACATCAAGATAATTATTATGTTTAAATAAAGTTAGTAGTCAGTCAACCATAGACAAGCCGCAAGACCTTTAAAAAGTATGACGTAAGAAAGTTATATTGGTTCTCAAGTCTTATCAAATATACTTATCTCAAGGAACATGTATTGTTACTTTTCTGTAAATGGAAAGCATTATATTGTCTTCATATAATAGTATTTTGTTGCTTCACTTAAACGGTTGAAAATAAAGTAAAGTGTCTGACGTCTAAATGTTGTTTTATATTTAGTAAACGAGTAAGACGTAAATACGAGCGATGAACTTTATCTAATTGTAAAAAAAGATTATCTCTCTATTAATAACATTACAAATTGTTCAAAATTCAATTTGAATTTATAAATTCGCGAATATATTAAAAGCATATCGAAAAATTTTGACTGTTATTTTTTAAATTCAAAAACATTTATGTATGGGTAACCTTTTTTGTTTTTTTTTGTACGTTTTATACTCCCGCCATGGCCACAGAAAAATAGCAGCCTATATTATAAAAAGTTTGTAATGGAGATTCGTCTCCCAAAAATATTTTTAAAGTGTAAACCAATTCAGCGAATAAAGCCGTCCTGTATTAGCATTAAAAAAATACAAATTCAAAATATATATAGCAACAGTCTTTAATAGTCCACTGCTGGACATAAGCCTCTCCTTAGAAAGGAGGTTTTGGCCTACTATACCACGCTGGCCAGACGGTTTGGTATAGGGTTTGTGTCAAGTTTTCCTTCTCTCTGCAGTGCTGTTGTTCTGCGTAGTTTTCTCCCTTAGTCGGCTCTTACGACACCCACGGGACGAATAGGTGTGATGACACTCTGTATTCTTAATCCGTCACCACACGGACGGACGGAAAATATGTTAAATCCACAATATGTTAAACAAAGTTTTTTTTATACTCCCGCACTAGGAATAAATCCTGTGTCCCGGGGGACTTCACAAACATACATGAAACGGACACCCAGACTCAGAACAACAATTTGTGTATCACACAAAGTGCCGTCCCATGTGGCGTTTGAACCCACAACGCTCGGCGTAGTAGTGAGCGCTTATACCACTACGCCATCCGTGCAGTCAACAGTAGACAGTTGACAAGTTGTATTAATATATCATCATAATGTCATCTGTTTGAAGTGTGGAAATACGTCACTAGCGTCAATCACTTGTTTTGAAACAAACAATGTTGCCCTTAGATCTCGAGACCGACTTCCACTCAATCGTTATTATTATAATATTTGATAACAAAAGTACCACGGCGTTATCATTCTCAAAAGCTTATGTCAATATTAATATTGTACCACATTCACACAACGCCATCTAGTCCCAAACTAAGAGCTTGTACTATGGGTACTAGAAAACTGATATAAATACATTGATACTTTTATTTTGTAAATACATACATGTTATACTTAGAAACACTCTGACCAAATCAAACATTAAAAGTTCATGCACACAAATGTTTGACTTGAGCGGGAATCGAAAACCTTTGGAATAGCAGTCCGTTACACAAACCACTACGCCATCCGGTCGTCAAATTAACTAGCCCTATTCCGCAGAGTGACCTATATTTATACTCCTATATTCCGACCAATAATAAAAGCTTAATGCCAATAGCCTATATTATTTGTCAATTAATACTTTATCCATTATAAAAAGAATCATTAGAATTTGGCTGATCATACTTGAGATTATTGCTACTTGCAATAAAACAAATACAATCTTCAACTCTTTATATTCATATACCCTATTCATCCCGTGGGAGCAAACTACGCAGGACAACAGCACTGCAAAAAGAAAGAAAACTTGAAACAACTCGTATACCAACCTGTCTGGCCAGCGTGGTATAGTAGACCAAAACCTCCTATCTAAGAAGAGGCCTATGTCCAGCAGTGGCCTATTAAAAGCTGGTGGATCATGATGATCAGTAAACATAGTATAGTATATGTGCGCCTTAAACTGTTAAGACGAATGCAGTACAGTGTCCTGTGTTCCTCATTGCTAGTATTAAAATGAGCCAATGTTACCCTTCGAATGCCGATAACTTTTAACTCGATTGTTCTGAACAAAAATATCGACTTAAAACTTTCTCTGAATTACAACTGTACATTCTCAAATGTTATTTCCACACCTACGATCCAAACTAAATTGGGTGTCAACGTGTTCGGACTCCGTTTGCAATGAAGTTAGACCCTATACGTACATAATTGCCACTTTCGAATATGTTGTAACTAGCTTTATTTTGTTTAAGACTGATCGTTGGACAATAATATTTGCTATTGTCGTAATAAATAAACAAATAGATGGTGTTATGGTATAGTTGGTTGGACGAAGGGTAATTCTGCCGTTTTTTAAATTATTTTAATTCAAAATGATGTAATCTGCTGTTGATTTCAAAGGACCTGGACTTGATTTTAATATATTTTACGTACTTATTTTTAAATCCCATTACTTTTTTTAAATTTTCAATTGTTTTGTTTTATTTGAAGTAGTTCTGGTTCCCTAATTATTAAATAAGAGATTATATTAGATACCTACTCAAAAAATTGAACAAAGAGTAAAGAAAAATTGACGCTTTTTAATATCCGTTATAAATTATTAATAAACCTATATTTCTTACAGATTTATGTTTAAAATGTAATGTAAGTATTCAGAATATCAGCGCAGAGACTTGACGCACTGATACACTATCAGCTACAAAATGGATTGATTACTTAACCCGTCCTAATTATGTCAAAACTTGACGCCATTAAACTATTATATACTTTAACTTATATCGGAAAACATAATTAGGTACTAAATATATTTATTCTGTATAAAATGACGGTTTCTTTATCATCAGAAGTTAGTGAGTGTTTTTACATTGTCATACCTGCCTGTGTTGTTATGGAATATGGCTTGCACGTAGAAGAAATTCTTTTTTTTTTGTTCTTTTCAAAAGACAACTCCCGCACTAGAAATATATCCTGTGTCGCGAGGGACTTTACAAATATACATGAAACGGACACAAAGAACACCCAAACGCAGAACAACAATTTGTGGATCACACGAAGTGTTATCACATGTGGGTATCGAACATGGAACACACTCAGCGCAGTAGGAAGCGGCGAGGCACTACGCGATCTGTGTAGCCATAAGAAGAAACCGTTAACCATGGGAGAGACAAGCTGCCACAAAAATGGGACCTGATTTTTGTGGAAGCTTGGCTATCGACGGTAGATCCACGATAGACCCTGAGCCCCTTGTCCCTTATATCATAGAAAAAAGAAAACTCGCTGTTTATATTATCACATCACAAACAGCCTTTAATAGTCCAATGCTGAATTTAGGGCTCTCCTTAGAAAGGAGGTTTTGGCCTACTATACCACGCTGCCCAGACGGGTTGGTATAGGGTTTGTTTCAAGTTTTCCTTCTTTTTGCTGTGCTGTTTGCGTAGTTTGATCCATAAGTCGGCTCTTACGACACCCACGGGTTGAATAGGGGTGGTGACAGTCTGTATTCTCAATCCGTCACCACACGGACGGTCCTTGGGTGTGAATTTAAATCGCCGTTAGTGTGTGCAACCATTTTACTGCAAATTGTAATATCACACATGCTATAAAAATGCATAAAATAAGCACCTTTCTTCTTCTTCTTCTCTTTTTCTTTTTAAAATTTAAAAATACATTTACTAGACTATGGTTATAAC